CAAAGAAACAGGGAAAACAGTTTGTAAGAAAAAGCAGATCGATAAAAGTAGACCCAGAAGTGACAAAATAATAGAATTAGTAAACAGGGACACTATAACTATCCCATATGTTCAGGTAGATGGAAGATATTAAGTAGAGATGTAGAAAACCAAGCTTCCAAAGATGCTTGTCTGAGATGAAAAATACAGTGGCTGAGATTTATTGCAGATGGCACTACAGAACAAAAGATTGGTGAACTTGACACTGCAAATGAAACTCACCAAAACAAAGAATTGAAAAAAATAATGAACAGAGTGTCAGTGAGCAGCAAAATATTTGTGTAATTGGATTCTCAGGAGTACTGGGGATAGGGGGAGAGAAAAAAACATTTAAAGAAATAATGGCTGAATTTTCTCTGAATTTAATGAAAACTGTATACCCATAAATTAAAAAAAAATATATTGAAGGTTTTCTTGAAATTGCTTAAACAGTTTAATTGCAGTGTGTCTTGGTAGCTCTCTTTATGAATTTTCTGTTTGGGGTTCTTTGAGCTGTTTGGATCTGTGGGAACCCCAAACAGAAAAATCACATAAAGAGGTATATCCTGCACATCTTTTTTGTCTTCGTTTTTTTGTTTTTTGAGACAGGGTCTCACTATGTAGTTGAGACTGACCTGGAACTCACTATGTAGCCCAGGCTGGTCTCAAACTCACAGTGATCCTCCTGCCTCAGCCTCCCGAGTGCTGGGATTACAGGTGTGCGCCACCGTGCCCAGCCCATACCCTACACATCTTAATCAGGTTTTAAGCAACTAGTGTTAAAGAAATTCTTTTAAACAGAGGGGAAAAACACACTATATAGAGAAAAACCAAGGTAGTAATGGGCTGAATTGTGCCCCCCTCAAATTTATACATTGAAGACCTAACCCCAGTACTTTGGAGTGACTATATTTGGAGATAGGGCCTTTAAAGAGATAAGTTATAATGAGGTGGTTACCATGGGCCTTAATCCAGTGTGTCTGATGTGCTTATTTTTAAAATGAGATTTAAATATCCAGATGCACACTAGGAATATGATTATACATGAGGAAAGACTGTATGAAAACATGAGAAGCATCCATTTTGAAGTTAAGGATAGAGATGTTAAGAGAAGACAGGTCTGTTGATCTTGGACTTCCAACCTCCCCAACTGTGAGGAAATAAATTTTTCATTGTTTAAGTACCCAGTGTATGTTACTTTGCAGCCTAGCAAGCTAATCTGCAAGGTAAGAATTACAACATACTTGTCATTAGAATCATTGTATGTCAGAAGATCTTAGAGTGATAGTATTAAAAAATACTAGTTAAAAAGACCTATCAACCTAAAATTCCATGTGGTGAAAACACCTTCCCTCGTCTCCTCTCCCCTCTCCCTTTTTTCAGAGACAGGGTCTCACTATGTAGTCCAGGCTGGCCTCTAACTCTCAGTAGTCCTCCTGCCTCAGCTTCCCAAGCACTGAAATTACAGGTGTGCACCACCATGCCCAGAGAAAACATCTTTCAAAATTGAAAAGGAAACTGTTCAGAATGGAAAACCTCTACACAGTGAGACTTTGTATCTTTAAAAAAAAAAGAAGAGCAAGCCAAATTCAAACAAGGCAGAGGGAAGGAAATTCAAAAGACCAGAGCAAAGGGCAATGTGCAAAAAAGTAAAAACAAAACACATTGAAATGAAAAGCTACTTAAAAAAAAAAAAAAAAGACTTGTAGCCAGACATCCTAGAAAAAGGAAAAGAGAAGATAAATATTACCACAATCAGGTATGAAAGACTGACAATTTTGTGGGGGTAGGTCCTGGGGATCCAGTTTATGACTTGTGAGGCAGGTGTGGTGTCACTGACCTAAATCTCCGGCCCTAATGACAATTTTTTTTAATGGTGAGAAAAATGTGTTTGTGAACTAGCCAGGTGATTTAGTTTAGGTGATCTCAGTTTCGTTGGCAACTTCCAAAGCATTGTAATCAGGAGCCAGTCAAACATATGCCTTCTTCTCTCCATCAGGCCTGATCAGGGTATTCACCTTGGCCACATTAGTGGCCTTGAATTCATAGGGCTCCTCTCCTCTCCTCTCCTCTCCTCTCCTCTCCTCTCCTC